TAACCTTGCTGTTTAGTTTCCTGTATAAAGGCAACTTGTGGCCCCAATACCTTATCTTGGCATTTGAGAGTCTCTCTACAATTTTGTAGCCCCATTTCCTTTCCTTTTCTAAGTCCCTATTGCAACCAGCCTGTCTCCTTTTCATTGTCAAACTTGTCTTGCATTTTCCCACTTTTGAGAGTTTACTCATCTTGTGGGTTGAAATTCAACTCATCATGTCCATTGAAATCATTGTGCTAGGCACTCCAGAGGCACTGAGTCAATGAAACCATGACCTGTGTCCTCAAGGAATTTGTAGTTACAATAGAAATAGAAGATACTATATGAGGGAGAGGAAAATCTTCATGAAGGCAGATATGCCAGAGGACAGAAATATGGAATCAAGGATGGACAGATGCTTACTTTTACAATTTTATATGAAGACATCAAACCAACCTGTTCTGAAATCTCCCACTTACAACTGGCTGTTCCCACTGCCTGGAGAGTACACATCATGTGCACCATCCTCACCACCCCTCATTCTTCATGCCTCAACTAAAAATAAACACTTTCCTCAGAGTAGCCATTCCTGGTCCACTCCTACCACCAACTACACTATGATACACAAGATCTACATTCACGCTTCCTTTCTTTCTCATCAGGGAAAATGGCCAGGTGCATTGTAAAGAATTGGAAGCAAGGGATTAAAAAAGTCTCAGAATCTCAGAGCCAGAATGGAGCTTAATCTTTCCAGCCCCTTGTGTGCAGATGAAGAAACTGAGGTTCAGATTGGGAAAGTAACTTACCATATTTGGCTTACCACATGGCAGTTCAAATGCTTTTGGTTGCAAGAAATATAAATCTCAACCCAAATTGGCTTACACAAAAAGAGAACCTATTGAATCATGTAGCCGAACCATCCAGGGGTATGTCTATCTTTAGATAAGACTTGATCTGGGACCCCAATGATGAGATTGATATCGGAATTAGTGTCTCTCTCTCTCTCTCTCTCTCTCTCTCTCACACACACACACACACACACACACACACACACACACACACATTCTCTCCCTCCCTCTCTCATTCTCCGGCTCTCCTATTGTGGTACCAAAATGGACCCTAAGACACCCCAGAACTACAACTACGTATTTCCCCACTGGATTCCATTTCCCCAATAATTCAACCAATGCTTCAGAAGTTGGTTTTATTGGCCACAGCTTGGCCATCACCTGGCTTGGCATGTAGTATACCTCTGAAACCATCGCTGTGGCCACTGCAATGGGATATGCGGACTTGTTTGAGGAAAACAGGGCCTAGCCCAAGAGCCGGAGGTAGAATCAGTTCACCCAAACCTCATGGCTGAGAAATGTTGGATGCTACTGTGAAGAGGAGAGAAAATCGATACAATCACAGTTGTCCATGACAGAAAGTTACTGGCAGAGTCAGGCCTATGAGCCTGATTCCCCAGATATGTTTAATGATGTCATCACATTCTGGAAAAGCCAGCTAAGTTTCTGTGGCACCAAGACATCGCTACATAGCCAATGGAGTTTTGCATTCAAACAATTCTATACTGACTCTGGAGTAGCAATGCTGAATTCACCATTCTTCAGGCAAAGAGAGTAACCCCAGGACATGAGTCCAGACAGAGATGAGGTACAAGAAGAAAAGAAGTGATTAAAATAAGCTACAGACCTAAATCAGGAATGAAAAGTAGAGAACCCGGTAATAATTGTCCCACATGTGCTGCCAATGGAATTGAATCAGCATAATTGATTTGATCTACACAAAGTGAGACAGGTCTTCTGGAAAACTGCCCATGAGTAGATCAGCAAGACCTGTATTTGGCATATTAAATGAAAATAAAGTGAGACTAAAGGTGGAGTTCTTCCAACCTGAAATACCCGGAGCAGAGACTGGCTTGTTGGAAGAGAGCAGGAAGGATGGCAGGTGTGATTTATTCCATGGAAGGAAGAGAGCAGGAAGGATGGCAGGGGCCATGGTTCCCAGCTGGCTCCTTTGCGAGTCTTTGTATATTGTATTAATAGTGAAGTTCACACAGAATACATTTTATTAATAGTAACATGCAATTTAAGATGTGCTTATTTCTTGTTTTAATCACAAAAATATTGCATCTGCTAATCCTCTTGGGGATTTCCAAGTCCCATAATGATAACCGCTTTTGGCACAAATACTATCACCAGGTAAGCAGGAATGGCCCAAGTCTTTTGATAATTTTCATTTTCGTCATTCTTCAGTGTTCCCCTGCAGAGGAGGGCTATAGAGTTACAGGATAATTTTACCTTATGAGGACCCTTTTTTCTGGCTTATACTCAATAAGAAGAAAAATTCCAATTATTTGGCAGATTAGATTCCCTAATCTAGTCCTGGCCTACCTTTTAAATTCAATCTCTCATTTCTCCTGTTCAGTCTCTATTGCAACAAATCCAGAGAAGAGTTTTATACAATTTTCATGTTTGTCTGATATGCTGTCTCATGCAGGCTGTATCCTTTACTGTTCCCACATCTATGGACTACATTCAGATGTTGGCCTCCAGTTTGTAATCTCTGGATTAAAATTCCAACTTTTTAGTGAAGACTCCTTTGGTTCCCAAGGAGAGGAGATGACCACTCTCTCCTTTAGAAACCTCATCATTTTGCCTCTCTCTCTCTCTCACCACTTGTTACATGTCCTGCTTGTGATTCACACATTCATCTTATTTTTTATGTTGATCTCTTGATTTCTAAGGCAGATATGACAGGTGATTCATCTCTGTAGTCCCATGATGCCTGGATGGATTTCTTGAAGATAATTCACAGGGCAGAAACTGTATATTTTATTAACTGCAGCATCTTGAACAAGTACAGTCAGATACCACATGAAGGATTTGAGGGTGAATAAATGGAGAGAGACCCTGGGTTCATTCTCTGATGGGACTCCATAAAACCTTCTTTTCATTGCCCCATCCCTGAGCCTTTCACTGTGAAGGCTATTTGTCATCTAAAACCCAGAAGAACCTTCACTTACTAAATTACCATGACCCTGGACAGTTACTAATCTGTGAGGCAATTTCAAGCCAACATTCTTGGTGGCACTAATCATCTAGAAAAGTTATTGTGCAGTGACATCCAGCTGGTAACATGCCCTGGAGTGGGATATTCCCAAGAAAGTTGTCTAGATTAAAAAAAAAAAGACTCTGAAGGCATCAGTTACGGAGTTAGATTCTGGTACTAGGGACCATTTGGGGGGTTTCATTTTGTTTCTTTCTCCTGTGCTCCTGCTACCAACTCACACCAGGACTCCAGCTACCCAAACTGTCCTACCCCTGTCCAAGGTGATAGTGCATCTCTCCAAAGCAAATGGCATACAGGAAGATCTGAAGACAAAAGACTCTTAGCTTCAGGCAAAACAAACCAGCAACCCATACGTGTCATTAAAATTAAAGTGGAAGAGCACCTGGGTGGTTCATTTGGTTAAGTGTCCAACTCTTGATTTTGGCTCAGGTCATGATTTCACGGTTTGTGGATTTGAGCCCCATATCAGGCTCTGTGATGACTGTGTACCCTGCTCAGGATTCTTGCTCTCCCCCTCCCTCTGCCTCCCCCCCATTTCTCAAATTAAATAAATAAACATTAAAAAAATTAAATTAAATTAAAGTGGAATTTAGTGTTGTGTTAACAACTAAAAATATGTATTCTAGAGTTAAGGTTTAAGGTTTAGAACTAGCTACCTTAATTGAGAGACCTTGAGAAAGTTATCTGACCTCTCTGAAGCTTCAGTGAACCTATCTGTAAGGTGATGACAGCGATAGTGTCTACCATATAGAATTGTTTTCAAAATTCAGTGACATCATGCAAGGAAAGCTTCTAGCACAGTACCTGGCACATAATGGCATCAAAAATGTTAGCTGTTATTTTATCTGCTTTTATTCATCATTAGTAGTAAATTTCCTTGTGCTAAAATTCCTGACTGATAGCTAAGAAGAACCATGAGACAGGTTCTTAACCACCATCTTTCCTGAAACTGAAACACTCATAGGACATCAGGACCCCTCTTCTGCCTGCAGGAAGGTCTGTTCTCACACATCTTTGATAGAATGTCCCTTATCTTTTTGTCAGGCCCCCCTGATCTTTCATTCATAGATTCCAAGGATCAGAGCTAGAAATATCAGTTGGAAAATTGTGCCTCTGCATATTTTCAGGTATCATATACAGGATTGAACAAGAAGACCTTGAGAACTTTACTAACCCTAGGATTCAATGCTATCTCTTTTTTTTCACTCTTAATACTTTCTTACAGAAAAATGATTTGACAACATTGAAAAGCATCTAAAACACATTTCAGCTGGTGACTGCTTTGTGAAGCAGAGCATTCTGCAAAGCAAAAATCCCCAAAACTGTTATCTTTGGCTAATAGAAAAGGATTTCTAGTAAACACATTACCAACACCTATAAAACTCACACTTGAGAAGTCAAAGAAAATTCTATGTAGTAACTCTCATTTTAAAAAGGCATTCATTGAATTGCTTAGCTATATGCACCTTGAGCTGGATTAAGTTCGGAAGCAAAATATATTTTTTAAAAAAATACTTGCCTTCTGTCTTTTACTATAGCATGCCTTCTGGCTTTGGAATGTGTCTTTTATCTTCTGGGGAGGATAGAATCTCTCATCCTAATCAAAGAGTACTTATTAGATGCGGTGGTATAATAATTTGTGTGCTCCATGTCACAGTTTCCTGGAAAGAGCTTCCAAACCCTTGGGATTTCTTTTTTTTTTTTAACTTTATTTAAATCCAAGTTAGTTAACATATAGTGTAATAATGGTTTCGAGAGTAGAATTTAGTGATTCGTCACTTACATATAACACCCAGTGTTCATCACAAGGTCCCTCCTTAGTACCCATCACCCATCTAGCCCATTCCCCACCCAACTCCCCTCCAGAAACCTGTGGTTTGTTCTCTGCATTCTTTTATGGTTTGCCTCTCTCTCTGTTTTTTAATCTTATTTTTCGTTCCCTTTCCCTATGTTCATCTGTTTTATTAAATTCCACATATGAGTGAAATCACATGGTATTTGTCTTTCTCTGACTTATTTCGCTTAGTATGATACATTATAGTTCCATCTACCCTTGGGATTTCTTAAGTGATAAGAGTGTCTTTGTTATGTTAATAAGTTAATAAGGTGACTCCTGGTGTTTGCTTAAATAGCTTTAGGATGGAACTTGGTCACCATAAAAACCAGAAAGGTGATTAAAGGATAGTAACCTTGGGCCAGATCAGTCTCTGGAGAAAAATATGGGCCTGGAGATTGAGTTCAATGACATGGGCCAAGAATTTAATCAATCCTTCCTATGTAATGAAACCAAATAAAAAGTCTGGATACCAAAAACAGCGTGGAGGTTCCTCAAAAAATTAAAAATAGAACTACCCTTCAACCCAGCAATAGAACTACTAGGAATTTACCCAAGGGATACAGGAGTGCTGATGCATAGGGGCACATGTACCCCAATGTTTATAGCAGTGCTTTCAACAATAGCCAAATTATGGAAAGAGTTTAAAGGTCCATCAACTGATGAATGGATAAAGATGTGGTTTATATATATAATGGAATACTACTTGGCAATGAGAAAGAATGAAATCCTGCCATTTGCAGCAACATGGATGGAACTGGAGGGTATTATGCTAAGTGAAATAAGTCAGTCAGAGAAAGACAGATATCATATGTTTTCACTCATATGTGGATCTTGAGAAACTTAACAGAAGACCATGGGGGAAGGGAAAGGGGAAAAAATAGTTACAAACAAAGAGGGAGGGAGGCAAACCACAAGAGACTCTTAAATACAGAGAACAAACTGAGGGTTGATGGGAGTGGGGGAGGGGAAAGTGGGTGACGGACATTGAGGACAGCACTTGTTGGGATGAGCACTAGGTGTTGTATGGAAGCCAATTTGACAATAAATTATATTTAAAAAAAAAAACAAAAAACTTCTGGATACCAAAGCTCAGTGGAGATTCCTGGTTGGTGAACACATTGATGTGCCAAGAAAGTGACATGGCCTAACTCCAGAAGAGGGCATAGAAGCTCTGTGTTCAGGACCCCACCAAATCTCGCCTGTATAATGAAGTTGTAATTGTAAGTATAACACTTTCCTGAGTTCTAAGAGTCATTCTAGTGAATTATCAAACCTGAGAGTGTTGTGAGCACCCTCAAACTTATAGCCAGTTGGTCATAAGTACAGCCTGAGGACTCCTGAAGTGTGGCTGGGACCTCAAGCTCTGCTTTTCAAGTATTGTAGTATTAATCAGATGTATTCTGAATGTGTTACCCAGGGGCCAGCTAAGGACCTGGATAGTGATCCACCACCAAAGTTCATTTCTCAAAGTAGTACACTATTTAAAACCAAATCCACCCATATACATCTTGGAGGTTGGGCCCAGGAGCTCACCCACAACAACTTTGTGGGATCTCTTTCTCAAGCTTCCTGCTCTTTACGACTCCATACTCTCTCCCAGGAGCACATTTCTATCCTCTGACTAGAAATCTAGTGTTTTTTTCTCCCTAGAGTGCTGTGCACTTCTCACCATTGGGTTTGCTTCCAAGGACAAATGGTGGAAGGACATATATAGAGAGAGAAGCAATGGATCCTCTCTTACTCTTCAGACACCAGTAGGGTTTGAGAGGAGGATTCATCTTCTTTAGAAGTTTAGATGCCTGCCTGGTCACTGATGCCACCATTGCCTCCACCAAATTTCACTTTCAGGATGGGAGAGAAAAAGAAAAAATACAGGAAGTTTCCCCCATTCTCTGTCTAATACGAACTCCTCTTCCTATGCCTCTGACAAAAAAGGAGAGCTTCTCTTAGAGTGCTTCCTATCCATTCAATGAGCTGCTCCAGGATTCTGATGTGTTGGAACCAATACCAGAATATACGGAGGAGGGAAAAGGCAGGAAAATCACCAACATATCAATCTTACTTCAAGTTCATGTTTTCTTCCTCAGTCAGCCTGATATCATTTACTTTTTGGAGTCCTCAGATAGACATGCCATGTATTCTGTCCAGGGCTTTTACTTAACACTCAGTGGGAGAAACAGGATGGAGTGTGTTTACCCCATTGTAACTAGAAATACTTTGTGTATTTCTAAATTTTTGTATAAATTGTACCAGACTGTATCATTCACTTAACTTAATATTTTATTTTATTGTATATTACCATATTATCTCATATACACACATGTGTTACTGCATTTCCTACCAATGAATGTTTGTTTCTAACTTTTTACTATTGCAGCATTGGAATGAACACTCTTGTACATATTTTCTTGTGTCCATTGTAAGAATTTTTCTAGAATATGTGCCTAGAAGTGTCATTGCTGAGTAAAGATATATATTCTATGTATTATAAAATACTCTCTAAAGTAGTTGTATCTGTAAGCACTCCTATTGGCAATGGATAGTCATTCTCTATTCTTCCCCCACATCCTTGCAAACAAATGTTATTAGATTTTTTAAATATTTTCCAGTCTGATGGGTGTGAAATGGTATCTTATGATTATTTTATTTTGTATTTCTCTTTTATATCATTTTATGATTGCAAAAGTATATACATACATTATAAAAGTAATACAGTTAATGAAGAAATACAGAAAACTTGAGAGAAAATAAACAAGTATGTAGAAGGTTTTTTAAAAATCTGATACACCAAACTAATACAAGTGAAAATCTCAGAGGGGGAGGGCCAGTGCTTAGAACTGAGCACAGTGGTCAAGGGGATTTAGCTCTTTTTTTTTTTTTTTTTAAATAAAAAGTGGTGTCTCCTGGGTATCTCAGTCAGTTGAGTGTTGGACTCTTGATTTCAGCTCAGGTCATGATCCCAGGGTCATGGGATCAAGCTCTGTGTCAGGCTCCATGTTTAATGTGAAGCCTGCTTACGACTCTCTCTCTCTTTCTCCCCCTCTGTCCGTCCCCCACTTAAGCTCTAATTTTTTTTAAAAAATGTATTCATGTATTTCTTATAATCAAAAATGAATTTACTATGTGTGGTGACAGATGTTAACTAGATTTAGTGGTGATCATTTAGCAACATATACAAATATCAAATCATTATGTTGTACACCTGAAACTAACATAACTTTATATGTCAAAAAGATCTCAATTTTTAAAATTAATTGAAAAATAAATTGTGATTATTTTGTTTGGCTATCTTTCCATTTTATATGTTATTATATGTTATGTTATTACATAGATATGAATAGACTATATTTGTAAACTGAAATCTTGAGTTTTAGTAATCATGCCATAATAATTTATTTTTTAAACCTTTATAAATGTTTTTAAAAGTCTGCTAACAGAAGCTTTAGTTTTTAAGTTGAGACATAATTGACATTTAATAGTGTGTAAGTTTAAGGTATACAATGTGTTGATTGGCTACATTTATATGTAACTTTATGAATTTATATGTAACTTTATGCTACATTTATGCAACTTTAAAGAATATGCAACTTTAAAGAATATAATATACTGTGGTTGACTATAATCATAGTGCTAGGCATTAGATCTCCAGCACTTAGTCATCTTCTAACACTGTGACCAACATCTCCCCAATTTCACCATCTCCCATTCCCTCAGTTTCTATGATTCCCATGTAAATGAAATCATACAGCATTTGTCTTTGTCTCTGACTTATCTCACTGAGCATAATGTCCTCAAGATCCATCTATGTTGTCCCAAATGGCAAAATTTCCTTCTTTCTCATGGCTGAATAATATTCCAGTGTGTGTGTGTGTGTGTGTGTGTGTGTGTGTGAGACATCTCCTTTATCCGTTTATCCATTGACAGACACTTAAATTGTTTCCATATCTTGTCAACTATGAAGAATGCTACAAAAAAAAAAAACACATGGGAGTTCAGATATCTCTTTGAGATATTGATTTCATTTCCTTGGGGTGCATACTCAGAAGTGCGATTGATGGATCATATGGCAGTTTTATTTTACATTTTTTGAGGAACCTCCATACTCAAAAGGTTTTAAGGAATCTTTCCTTAATGGCTATAACAATTTACATTCCTACCAACAGTTCACAAAAGTTTCTTTTCCTCCATGTCCTCACCAACACTTATTGCCTCTTGTCTTTTTGGTGATAACTATCCTCACAGGTATGAGGTGACATCTCATTGTGGTTTTGATTGACATTTTTCCTGATGATTAATGATGTTCAACATCTTTTCATGTATCTGTTGGCAATTTGTATGTCTTCTTTGGAAATGTGTGTATTCACTTTCTCTGCTCACTTTTAAATTGGATTTTTGGGGTTTGTTGTTACTGAGTTGTACAAATTCCTTATATATTTTGATATTAACCTCTTATCCAATATAAGGTTTACAAGTATTTTCTCCTATTCCACAGGTTATCTTTTCATATTGTTGATAATTTCTTTTGCTATGCAAAACCTTTTTAATTTGATGTAGTCCCACTTCTTTATTTTTTCTTTGTGTGTACGTGTGTGTGTGTGTGTGTGTGTGTGTGTGCTTTTGCTTCCTAACCCCAAAATTGTTGCCAAGACCTTACGTTTTCTTCTAGGAGTTTCATGGTTTCAGATCTTATGTTTAAATCTTTAATCCATTTTGTGTTAACTTTTGTGAGTGGTAGATAAGATCGGGGTCCAATTTCATTCTTCTGCATGTGATTGTCCAGTTTTCCCAACACCATTTATTTAAGAGACTATCATTTCTCCACTGAGTATACTTTGCTTCCTTGTCAAATATTAGTTGACCACATATGCAAGAGTTTAATTCTGGGCTCTCTATTACATTCCACTAGTCTATGTGTCTATTTTTATGCCAGTACCATACTGTTTTAATTATTTTAGCTTTGAAGTATAGTTTGAAATCAGGAAGTGTGATACTTCTGGCTTTGTTCTTCTTTCTCAGGATTGCCTTGACTATCAGTCTTTTATGGCTCCATACAAATTTAGAATTTTTTTCTATATCTGTGAAAAATGCCATTGGAATTTTGATAAGGATTGCAATGGAGATAGCTTTGGATAGTACAAACATTTTAACAATATTAATTCTTCTGACCCATGAACATAGGATATTTTTC